CTGGATGTTAGGTATCGCTGATAATAAAAAAATGCTTCACATTAACATATACAAAGTTTTTTTAATGTTTATATACAGTATAAGCCAGGAATGACTTTCAATCCTTGGGTCATAGTGTGAAATTCTGATACAGCTCATAAAAGCATTATAGAACATTGTTCTATATTTGCGAATGTGCTTTATATTGTATGTCATAAGTTCATGCAATTTTAACACATTGTTTTAGGTTAAGTGTGATTTATGGCCTTGCCGGGATCCTTGAAAAATAAAAAAAAATTAAAAAAAAAAAAAAAAAAAAAAAAAAAAAAAAAAAAAAAAAAAAAAAAAAAAAAAAAAAAAAAAAAAAACACAGACCAAACATAAAAATCACAACACACAAACATAAAGAAATCATGTTCAATATAGATACAGAAAACAAAAGTTAGAGAAATAATTTTGAATCCCTCAGTTACATCTCGCTCCTGTAAGTTTCGGTACCTATTAATGAACTACTAAAATGAATCAATCATCCATAGAAAAAATTAAACTGCAGCTGAACTTCCATTAGAGAATATGATAGGACTAATCCTATAGAATTGACAATACACTATTCGGTAGTAATTAGCATTTTGGGAAAAAGCACCTCATGATTACCCAATACCAGGCAATGTATCAACAACAGTTTCTATACGATTTTTATTTTTGGATCTTTAAATTTTTTAGCTCATGCAAGTAAATTGTAAGCTTTTTTTTTTATAATACTTGATAAAAAACAATGATCTAAAGTGAACATTGAAAGTTTGGGGAAACTCAGCCTTCTTTAACCATAAAAGTTACTTAAAGATAACTCTTAATGCCCTTGGGTGACTAGGTATTATGTATTATATAAGCTTAACAATACTGCAGGAGTGGTGCCAAGATTTGCCCGACAATACCCCGACAGGGGCAGTCTTCTCCGACGAGAGAAAATGCGTGGTCAAACGTCGCTTAAAATGTCTTTAAATTGGTCCATGGCCAGGGGCGCGAACCCTCGAAAATGCTGAAAATTTATGGGTTACAAGTGCTTATTTAACCGATTTTAGAGTCTACTAATATGTAAAAAATACATATAATTTTTTTTTCTCCCCGACGAATTGTGGTTTTTCTCTCCGACNNNGGGGAGGGAACTCTCCCCGATTGGGGGACCTGGGCCCCCGCCCCTCCCCGCTGGCGCCACCCCTGCAATACTGATGAAAATTATAGTACTGGTATGTGTCGGAACTTTAGATAATAAACAAAAGTACTACACACATAATACTCCAGTAAAACAAATAATAATAAAAGTAACAATATAAATATAGTTACAATTTATCCTGTCGATAAATGATATTACTGAGTAATAGTAAATAATATATTCGCTTGAAAGCCATGATGTGGGTTTTATGTTACGTTTTTTTTACTGTTTTTTTAATAAAGAATGATTTGATAATGCTAATAATGATAATGGTGATACTAATAATAATGATAATGATAACGATGATAATGATATGCGTAATCATAAATCATACGAAAGCAATAAAAATAATCCAAAAAATAAATACATTTATTGTAGAATACCGTAATGTTACGTCTGATGAGAAGTAAAGTTTAATGTTAGAGAAGCAATGAAAGCGTGAGTGACATATTCGTCGATTTCAAATTCCTCTTGAGGTTGTAGGGCTTTTTTACACTCTGTTTTCGGTTTCAATAATTCTTCACACTCGTCCTTGCCAGGTATTTTGTTAGGGGGTGCCTCTTTCAATGGATCGAACAGTTCAGGTGGTTCATTCGAACGATGAGTGCACACATATGCATTGTCAGTTGTTATAGAGTCCCACTGAAAAAAAGTTTAAATTAATTTCATCACCATTGAATTGAAGCATTAGTAGATCAATGCTAGCCTTCCAATTTCGAAGCCATGAGTTTCAATAGCTATTGGGCCACCTAAGCCTACATGTCAGGATTTTCTCACATTTAAAAGACTCCTAATCCTCTAGAAGAGATCTGTTGAGACTTTGATTGGATTGTCTGACCTATACTTAGTGGAGTCCTTCTGGTGGTAATAGGACAGATCGAGAGACAATGTGTCCAGTGCGTTCTGTAACATGCACTTAGGCCATATTGCACAGGTAACCAACTGCCCAAAAATCTCTTCGTAAAGATGGTGTGCTCTTTCATAATTTAATTTCAGCCCTTTAGCTGAAACACAAGAAGGGCAGATGATGTAATTTAACCGGGTATTAAAGTATCTCCTCGCTAAGTGGTTACCATCAGTTTCTATGTGGTTGCTGTCTTTTAATGGTCCAAAATGATCAGCTTGGGTCCGTTAAATGCAGCCTACTGTCATTGGCAGAATTCCGTAACCCGTCTAAACTTAAGTTATTATATTTAATCGATCTTTTAAAGTGGTCAGTCACCAGGCAAATATCGAAACAATGATGTTTATATAAATTTAACTAAAACATCTTTTAATTGGTTTTCAGACAATTTAGAGACTTCTGGATTTTCATAGTTTAATTTTCAATGCTTACCCATACTGGAAATTTGAAGCGTTCGTTTGTCACTCTCCGTTTCAAGAACCTTGATAAATGACGAACTACTACCAGGAATAGCACCAGTGCAAGAACAAATGCCATGATATACGCTAACAAAACATTTGGTAAATCAGTGATTTCTGGTTCTGAAAAAAGAAAAAGGAAAAAATGAGTAAATTTCAATATGAGACAGATATTAAAGCTACAGCAAGTTTTTTTTCAAATAAATATATAATTTAAATTAGCTACGGTATATAATTAAATTTGACTCTCATCTTAAATAAAATTATTATGGTATACCTGAAGTGGATGATTCTTTGCTGCTTAGCGTTCTGACTGCAACCAAATCTGCAGTGTAACTCCTAGAACATTCCGGACATTTGCCATAAATAGAATATGACGTAATGTTGTAACTTGTGTTTTCTTCAAGGTCTTCCCAAATCCACCAAGAACCTGTCGTGTAATTGGTGCGCTTTGAACAGGTTAAAAAAATGTAATTAATGAAAGATTGGAGAAAAAATTGAAAACATTAAAATTTAGTGTTACAAACATCATGATATTAATAAATTAATTTTCCAAAAAATAACATTGTATCCTATAGGTAAATAACACTAAGACCCACATAGGCATATTAATGGATTAATTAAAATACATAGTTTCCAAATGCTTGAGTTGCCATTTTTCAGTATTTTCTGAGCATACCCGTCAACCTATTCAAATAAATACATAATTTGAAGGTTCATAAAGTTGAAAATCTGAAAAAAAAACCTTTAACAGAGTTTGCATTTATTCTCAAAGGTTAATTGATGCATCCGACATAAATCCATCTATTTATCCAACCAGCCAGCCATTCGTCCCCCTATTCATCTATCTATTTATCAATCTTCCAATCCGTCAATCCATCGGTCTATCTATCCACGTCCATCCATCCAACTTCATTCATCAATCCATTTGTTCATCTTTCTAACCATTAATCCATACTTCCATCCGTCCAGCTCTATCAATCAATCAATCAATCAATCAATCAATCAATCAATCAATCCATCTTTACATCCAATAAATTCATTTATCTATCTACTTATAAAGCATCATAATAAATTAAAGCATTATCATCATTTACAATAAATTTATTGCAGGAAATACTGATTTCTTTCGTAATAGTTTTTAGGATGAACTCTGAGCTATCAACAAGTAGCACTACATTATTTGAGTCGACATATGGCGTCTTTGGTAATTCCATTCTAAAAGAAACAGATTGGGCTTCAATCGATTCCAACGATATTGCTGGCGGTCCTATAGAACCTAAAAGAAAGGGGAAAAAAAAGATAAAATAATGACATAATTTTTTGATAGGCTAGTTTTTTGAGTTTTACGTGCACACATTATCAAACCGCATACACAAGGATATCAGTTTCATTGTATATTTACTTATCACTCAATATTTGACCATTTGCTAGAATATATATTGGAATAATACTTAACTTTTTAAATGTACAATACTTAATGATTTGTTGGAGACATATGCAGGGGACCAAATACATCCATAACGAAAAGAATGATGTTTGTTGCATCAAATAAACCATATTACAGAGATGGATTAAAATTGGAAAGATGCTATGATTAGATGCTGACCAGGCAAAAGTATCAACTCAATCAAGGGAAACTTTTTTTTTTTATAAACAGTTTGTCTTTGATTACCAAATTACCTTTGGACTACCAAAGTAAAGTAGCTGTACATGGTCAGAGTAGTTGTCAACCGAGTTGAATTTAATATTTCACTTACGTCGATAGCATTCAGACGCAGGTTTGATATATTTTTTATTTTGGGATTTAGTATCTCAGCAACCACGGATCATTATTGAGTTAATCTTTGACCTAAATTACTTAGAATGCCCAATTTTATGTTCATTCTTGTGGGAAAAATTCACAAAACCACTTACCAGAAGACATATAATACAATTCAATAAGTACAATCTGCCAAAAGACTATATAAATTATTTACAAAGGAGGAGGCTTGCCATCCCAAAACTTTCGCTAATTGTTGAACTAAGTAATTACAAAGATACTAGTAGAGCACTCGCATAGCAAGTAAAAATGAGGCGAAAATTGGGCCGACGTAGATGGCGCCCTTCTTTTTTATAATGCAAGTTTCCCATACTTCGGAACTGACGTACAGGGCTCTCTTCTGTTGCTAAGTATATCCAGACGCACACGGCGCCTTTATTTTTCTACTAATGGAGGAAGAATTATCACTAGAGTGCGTCCGGCCGGCCATACGATTCTGGGCTATATTGTTGTTTTCTATACTGATCCATGGGCTTAATTGTTTTTGTTTTATTTGGATAATAGCAACGGTTTCTACCTCCGCCAAGGAGGTTATATATTCACCGATGTCACTATCTGGGTACAATTGTACTATTGTACAATTGTGTACAATTTTTTAATTGAGAATTGACAATTAAATACGCGACGACTTGGTAACGAAAGTTTGGTAGAAGTTTTTTAGATCCAGCCGTACGGGGCGCCCCATTGTTTGTATTCCCACCATGCATTTCGGTGGAACACAATTAACGAGATAAAGAGCGGATATTTTATTTTTCTTTAAATCATTTACATAATTGGTAGAAATTGGAAGGCTTTTGTAAACTTCGTAAATAAAACTGCATATTGGATTGGATTGGACATCTTAGGATATTAAGAACTCAAAATCTTCATATTTTGGAGAATGTACAGTATATTACTATAATTAGAACATACACAATTCCATGATAAGAACATTGTCTTGTGTACACCTAAGTAAACATGTTGTCCTTTATCGAAATTCCATCTCACCGTCATCTACTGGTTTTGTTTCCTCATATTTCCATTCACTCTCTGCGTTTTCTGAAACCGCTCTGACTCTTGCAGTCAATGTTGGGCCATACGATAGGGCCTGTTTATCCATGTTGATCACGCACACTGTTTCAGTAATGTTACTGCAAATAGGATCCCACTTGCTGCGTGGAAATATTACATTTACCAGATTCGGATTATTTGGTGTTTGTAAATTGAATATATATATATATATATATATATATATATATATATTCTCTCTCAAGGTCACCTATATTTAAAAATTGGATATTTTGTGTTATTCTTGATCGATACACACTTCTGCTCATTCATCTGAATCCTTTATTGTATGCCTACACGCTTCGTAGACGATATGCTTCAGAAAAAATATCGTATAATATTAATAATAATAATAAACTGCATTAGAATTGTAATTACGTTACTATAAAAATTGAAACGTTACCCATATAAAAGCATACCCACTCTTTTAACAAGCTGTACTCCACGTCATATTTTACACCATGTGCATTATTTTTATTTGCTGTCCAATGCAATGTTGTGTTCAAATTTATTGTGCTGAAACTCAGGTCTGAAGGCGTAATTTGTATAGCTAAACATTCTGTAAATAAAACCAATGATTTTGTGGTAATTATTACATTAGGTTTGATTAGAAAACTGCCAATATTTCTTTCAGACACAGTGAAACAGTTTGAAGTATAAAAGGGTTTAAAATTCCTTAAAAAATCCAGAACGGAGCAGTCGTAGGGCGGCTATAGCAAACATAGCTGTGCTGCCAGGTTCAGTTGTTGGTGGGAACGCAAACATGAGACACAGCGAAAGGTCATTACTACTAGTAGCCATAGTGCCAACCAAATTAGAAGAAATTTTATTAAAAATATAAAAGTTGTCATGCAGTAACTTGAGTCATTAGAGAGTAAAGTATTTACGTGAATCTTCATCTTCATCGTCATAAGTTCCCAAATTCATGATGTTGATTATCACGGAACTGTAGGAGGTATAGTGGCAGTCCTTTACAGTCGGTTGTTGGGTTTAATTTAGTTTTAATTTAAATTTAATTAAAATTTTTTCTTTGTTCCTCTTTTTCTTTTTCCTTCTTTTTTCCCCTTCTGTTTCCCCTTTCTCTTCTTTTTTCTTTTCTTTTCTTTCTCTCTTCTCTCTCTCTTTTTCTTTTCCTTTTCCCCTTTCTCTTTTTCCTTTCTCTTTCCTTCCTCTTTCCTTTTTTTTCTCGTTATTTTGATTTTCATTTTTAAAAATTTCACTGACGCGTTACTAAATATTAATCAGTAATACAATATTTGTGTAGGTCTACATAGTTCGGGTGCTCAAATTAAACATACATTGAAACGTGTACGTTGTTTTATTAAAAATACTTTTGCTTACGTAGGCCTACCAGGTATTGGCAATAAACACTCCCTGAAATCGTTTTAAAACAGCTTAAAGTGCTCAGAGCGTCGAAGCGCCATGGGCCTACTCTCCCTCGACCCTCGCCGGGGCACCGCCCTGGACCCCACCATCGGTCAACTGGTGAGTCACTTACGCATTTCACATCTCTCAGGTTGGTAAATATGAGTAAGCACGAAGACAGGAACGAACAATTTTCTTGGTGAATCGATTCTCGAACGAGATGAGATAGCAATAGCTCTCTATTATAACACATCATCATAAAAAATACACAATATATACATTTTTTTAATGGCTTAGATAAATTAACCATAGATATAATCGGATGAGTTCATTAAACTGTGTAAACGAATTATTATAAATATCCGCTTTAGAGCGGACATTATCCTGCCCGTATTATAATCAATTCCCTATTTTCTGTCGAATTGTGTACGTATACCAAATACAGTTCGCCCTCCAATTCGAGACCACCGTTGGGACCTGAAAATATGGGGTGGTCTCGGGTTGGTCTCCAATTAGAGGGCTAGCTTTGTGTTAAAAGGTTGAAGATTGCTATTTGGGTCTTTGGAAAAATGGTCTTGAATTAGAGGGGTCTCGGATTGGAGGGTGCACTGTATGCCTTTAAAGAATTATCTTTAACTAAATATTAACCAAACATGTTAACGCATAGCGAACGCTGATAGAACACATCTTACCACGCACCAACATTATGTTACTGAACATTGCTGTCAGATTTAAATACTGCCTCTATACTTTAAACAACACTTTTATTATAATAGTGCTGAATATTGTATTACCAGGAGATGTCTTCTTTACCACCATCGTACACAACAGTGTTAACAATGAAGCTACGTCAATTATGAGACTACGCACGATATATGCCGTGTGTGCTAACTTCCAGCCAACTCACACCCCAGGTTCATTTTATACTTAAAGTGTTCCCCTACCTGTTAAACCAGGAACTAGTACTACAAGTGCCAACAGGTCTACGATACATCGGTGGGCCATTTTGTAGGCTTATCTGGCATAATGTAGTCTGCCTAGGCCTGCCTATAACATTATATTACACCTTCGTTTATACAATGGATTCAATGGAGAATGCATAATAAGGTGTTGACACAACACGTGTGCTGTATAATGCATTATTGTTAGTTGGCGGAAGTTAAGGGCAAATGCCGGATTGTTGCTTTGAATCCCAAATCGCTCACTATACACTAAGTATTTGATTGTATTTGTACACAATTCAAATCAAATGACGCTCATGAATATTCCATGAATGAGGGAACGCACACAGTAGGGGGCCTATGTCACTGATTGAATTTATCGCTGGCCTCTTCGTTATATGTCATCTGGAAAACCTGTGCTTATTTCTATAGTCATAGTCATATAATTATTATTTGTCCATTCATAGAAAAAGAAACGTTATTATAGGTCACTGATAGATGGATACAATCTCCGAAGTTAGAATTGTCCTATTTTCAATCGTTTGATGGAAGTTTCCAAATAAAAAGAAAATCCACCTGTTCATTTTTTTCAGATACAGTTCGGAATTTAGACAGATCCGATGGTCTTCGACGAAGTTTCCTGGTGCAGCACTTTCCGATTGTTTGTACTCAGACTTGACCACGCTAACGCAGTTCTTGTCAGGACCAACGCATCTGATCTGGCATCACTATTTGTGCAATGTTTGCAGAACTAGGCAGCTATCATGTTTTTTTTTCACCGCAATGGGACACGATACGATTGAAAATAGGACAAAATTCAAGATTATGTTCCAGATTTGATCTTAATTATTCCTCGTCTCGTGCTACCCGATGGTCATCCAGTGACAGAACTAGAATTAATGTAGTCCGCTTTTTGAAAAAGGGTCCAAATTTCTCATATTTTGCATACAATTAGTAAAATTTTAAGACAATGGGTCCACATTTTTCATATTTTTTGCGTAAAATGGGTCAACTTTTAAGAGAATGGGTCCACATTATTTGAATTTACACACAAAGTGGGTCCACCCCAATATTGTCGCACTGTTTGAATCCTGGCTATGGCATTGCTCACACCGGACACCAATAAGGGACATATTCATTTAAGTATGGATGAAAAATGTCCTTTATTAGAAATGACGAAATGTAAAAACTACAACGGGGGTCAGCATGTCGACCTCATGTATGCCACGGGCATACTTTACAACATAATTAAAACCTTGCTGACCCCAAAATGTAAAATAATAAAAGGTATAACATAAAAAAGGTATAATAGCCGGAATTGGTTACGGTACATAGACAAGATACAAGCACAAGTAAAAAGTTAAACAGATTCTATTTGAATATACCCTTTTGGTATAATAAATTGATAACGTATACAGGACAATTGCAGTTTAATTTATACCCTATATAGTTTATGCTAAATATTATACAATGTAACGAACAACCAACTACAGTAGGCCTACATATTGAACATGAGTACAAAACCCTCATAAACCTATCATTCTGATAGGTTGACACCACCACCCCTAAACACCCAGTAATTGAATATTGTAGTTGACAAGCAAATTAACAATTTTCCAAACATTATATACAAATATACAATATCATCATAAAAATATAAGTAAAGGCCACAAAAAGAGTTATTTTTTTGCTCAAGCACATCAGGACCCGCCAGAACACTAAGGGGTTCCTTGCCGTTCCAATGCATCTCTCATGCATTGCGGTTGGGAAATTTGTAGCAACACTTTACTTCTTCCATTCTCTTTTCATTTAGACACGATGTGCTCTTTTATATCTATAGGCCACAGGTCCATCGAACAAGAAAAAAAAAACACATATAATATCGTCAGCAAACAACAAACACAAATATTTACATCTAATATTTGTATATAAAGGCCATTAATAGATAGAGCAAACAACAATGGAGATAAGTTACACCCCTGTCTTAAGCTTTAAAAGTGAAGGTATAATACCCATCATAAAGATAAAATTTAAAAAAAAACTTGGTAGGTTGCTACCCTATTTCCCCAGGTATACCATCAATTATTACTACACTTTTTTATCTTTCAGATATTCTCTTTTCCATTCTTAATGATTAGTGATTTAAAAATATTTTGAACATGTACTTGGAAAAAAAATTATATTTTTGCAAATAAATAATAGAAAAAGAAGAACGTAGATTTATTAGATATTGATTTGGTTGGCATGGACAACAGACAGTTCTATTTATTCTTATTATAACATTATTTAATTCGTTTAACCACACACACATTAATTTTATTTAGCCTACTTCAAGTTAATCAAAACTCATATGCCACCGGATATAATATAGACTTCAGATTCATGTCTGGCGCCACTTAAGCTCGTCGTGAGTTTTGTTTGGTATATGAACACCTCAAATGGAATATGCGCACCATAATTATCGTACCATAATTGTTATGATAATATTATATCAAAATTTAAATGAATTTACTTTTAGTTTTTTTTCATTTAATTTAACCACGACTATCTTCATTATTGTGTTCATTATGTACATTTTTTGGAGAGGTATTAAAAATGAGGTAAAATTGACGCTCCATCAATGTGAGATCACATAATATTTCCGAATTCCTCATAATGGTTACATTCACACACAGATCATGGCATGTGTGAAAAGAAGGTAGCTTGGATATAGTCATTGTCTTTTAAAATAACACAGTTTCCCACACTGTTATCCTGCTTCAAGATCTGTTCCTCCTCTGGATCAGAGCCCTGGTCTTCAATAATATCGCATGTTTTCGTCTGTTGCTCTTGTAAAACAATCTGCAAATATCCTGAGCTAGGCCTAGACTTCAGCTCATCAAATACCTCCGACGGTCCAGTCTGTCGTGGCAGAGACGTTGACTTGTACTCGGTTACAACTTTCGAAAACTGCATACACAAAACAAATATATACATACATACAATTTATAAACAGACATTTTCAGTATGTTGCCAATATTGTAAGATAATTTTGTCATAGGCTATTAGATATTGATTAATTTAGTAAAATACATTTTGAAGTATCTGGTGGTATTTTTTAAAGGACTTTAAAACAACAATTGGGTGCCATAATTTTTTGTTGAAATAATTAGTATAAATAAATAATAATTTTTTAATGAAATTTAGAATTGTGGAACTTTGAATAATATTAAATCAATATTATGAGTTAAGCTAATAACACTATAATATTTAATATAATATCTAAATTGATTAATCGGTAATACTATAAAATTAAAACGAGAAACATTTCTCTTTCAATTAACACACATATGCATAATATTATTTCTTACTGTTGGAATAAAATATTAAATGGTCTAGCAATCAAATGAAGGGCTTATGTAGCAACACGCATGACAATCAAACTTAATTGCAAAATTTGTAAATTGGTAATTTTACTGTTATACTGAATTTTCAGATTTTAGCACAAACAATATCTTACCCATTGCGGTAACTGAAAACGACTTCGGTGTTCATATGTGCAAGTGCGCTTAATGACAATAATCGAGATTTGTAGGCCTAATACCAATAATATAACTGTAACTGCACACGTGAAGACAAGTTGGGCTACAGACCAACGTGAAACTGGAAAAGAATAATAAAACTAGCTAAAATGCTTGGAAATTAAGTATCTATAAACAAAATAATCATTTGCTTTAATGTTCGTAGATGTGTACATGTGTTGTATGCGATAGACCGCGGGTTTCAATTTCTACTGGGGTTATTTTTTAAACGACAATTAGAAACTGCGTTGAAATGCTATGCCCGTTATATTAACATTAGGAAATAAAACAAATATACCGTATGAAAATATTGTAATTTTAAGGCTATACATGTTTGGATACGGTATTTAAGTTTCATCAGTTTCATTTGGTCTTCGTAAAATGTTCCATATAATATCAGGAAATGCGCATACGGTGAAAAACGTTACTGATATTCGCATGTTCTAAAATGCATTTTGATGTGTATGGTGGAAAAAAAAATAATGGAATATTTACCGTCACCATTAAACTTGAATGCAGTAGTTGAATTTATTGACTTTGTGGCCTCCTCAGGTGAAGTGGAAGTTGGTATTTCTTAAAGAATATAATGTTTTGCATACGATTATTATACTTTTAAGACAATGGGTCCACATTTTTCATATTTTTTGCGTAAAATGGGTCAACTTTTAAGAGAATGTGTCCACATTATTGGAATTTACACGTAAAGTGGTTCCACCCCAATATTGTCGCACTGTTTGAAAATCCTGGCTATGGCATTGCTCACACCGGACACCAATATGAGACATATTCATTTAAGTATGGATGAAAAATGTCCTTTATTAGAAATGACGAAATGTAAAAACTACAACGGGGGTCAGCATGTCGACCTCATGTATGCCACGGGCATCTTTACAACATAATTAAAACCTTGTTGACCCTAAAACGTAAAATAATAAAAGGTATAACATAAAAAGGTATAATAGCCGGAATTGGTTACGGTACATAGACAAGATACAAGCACAAGTAAAAAGTTAAACAGATTCTATTTAAATATACCCTTTTGGTATGATAAATTGATAACGTATACAGGACAATTGCAGTTTAATTTATACCCTATATAGTTTATGCTAATTAGAAACTGCGTTGAAATACTATGCCCGTTATATTAACATTAGAAAATAAAAAGGAATATACCGTATGAAAATATTGTAATTTTAAGACTTTAAATTTTTGGATACGTTATTTAAGTTTCATCAGTTTCATTTGGTCTTCGTAAAAGGTTCCATATGATATCAGGAAATGCGCTAACGGTGAAAAACGTTACTGATATTCGCATGTTCTAAAATGCATTTTGATGTGTATGGTGAAAAAAAAACAACAATATTGGAATATCTACCGTCACCTTTAAACTTGAATTCAGTAGTTGGCTTTATTGACTTTGTGGCCTCATCAGGTGAAGTGGAAGTTGGTATTTCTTCAAGAATATAAATGTTTTCACCTTTCTTCTCAAACCTCTTTATATTAGGAACAGGGCTTGATCCTCCTCTCACTACTGACAATACACTCACTGTATAGACTGTATTTTGTTGGAGATGAACGTTTGAAATCCTGTAACTAGGCTTTGAAATTATTTTATTCACCTGTAAATGAAACCTAACTTGTTTATTGGTGAACATACCAAACGTTTGTCAAGTAACAAAATAATAAATTAGGGATGCAGTTTCTTCTGGTCATTACTTAAATTATTAAAATCTTTGTTTCTGCACCCAAAAGCGATGTAAAATTCATTACAAATGCAGAAAACAGAATAGAGCATTATAAAAATACAAAAATACTGTATGACACTAAACCTTGGGAATTATACATATTATTTAAACAAATTATAGGTCATTAGCATTATATTAACATACATGCCGATATGTACACTTTCGGAAAGATAAATTGGATTGAATGGTTCACACCTGGAATAATCTTTACACCTTTCTAAATTGAATATTGTGTAGTAATTTACGTGAACCATGCCGGGAATATCCCGCTCGACAATCCTTCCTGACGACTATCGATGAACGGTATTAAATAGATTTCCATTGGAACGTACGCCACAAATTCAACATATTTTCGGCAATGTAGGCCTAACTGATTTTATCAAAAATAAATTAATCAAAAAATGGCAACATGTGTTCACAATTCATATAACCAAGCTTGTAGAGCAGTGAACAAAAACTGAACTGCAGCCCAGTGAATACGTGTGTCTAACCCTTATATAATAATAATAATAATAATAATAATAATAATAATAATAATATTAATAATAATAATAATAATAATATTAATAATAATAATAATAATAATAATAATAATAATAATAATAATAATAATAATAATAATAATAATAATAATAATAATAATAATAATAATAATAATAATAATAATAATAATAATAGATGGATCTATATAGCGCAAATAAACGAGGTCTCTATGCGCCCGGGACTAGATGTTGCAGTTTTCATTAATTTTCTTCTCCCGTAATAGCACCAATGAAAGCAAACAATTATATTTCAAAAACAGAAAGTGTCAAAGTATCATAACACAAATGCAACACGATAATAGAATACTGATATACCTTTAATTTCTCGATTCGTACGTTTACTTGAACGCCCAAATTCAATTTACTATCGTCTGCACGCAACCTATGGGTGCCAGCCTTGTAAGGTGTTTCGGGAAAAGATAGGTCGAGAATCAACGTATCGTTGTTTAGCATGCTGATGTTATTTATCAAAGGTGCATCAATTTTACCTAATACCATGGAATATAATTGAAATTAATAAAAACATGTAAACATTGAAGAAAAGTTAGAGTAGTGTTGTAGAGATATTTGTAATTTTGGAGTCTTGGTTATCAATTAAAATAAATACAAATGAATGCATTATCGATATCAAAAAATGTTATTGGAAGAATAGCCTTGTGTAAATTTTACACATTAGCTGCTTAAACAGCAAATATAACATACGAAGTAGACATCATGACCTTTCCGGAGTGTCAAATAAAATTAACAATTGACCAATCAGAAGAAGCAGAATTACGCTCGTGTCTAACCATGGAGGACGAACAAGCACACGTCTTGTCTTACAAACGCACGAGTGTGCGTATGTGTTAATGTTTTATTAGTAGGTTACTGTAGTATAGATGCTGGTAGAGCCAAGATGGTATTCAAGCTGATGCGGTAATTAGGTAATCACAATCGCTATTTGAGATGGAAATTCTGTTTTAACATCCTTTTATCTACCAATAAGTTCTAAACTTTATATAATTATTTTATGTATATAGTTAGTTATAGGAGTGTGCTTAATATTCCAGAATAGGGCTAAAGAAAATTAATTAAAAAAAAGAAGTTTTAATTTTGTTTATTTTATATATATATATATATATATATATATATATATATATATATATATATATATAT